TAACAGAGAAACACATTTTAATCCAAAGATTAGACCACCATAAAAATAAACATCTTAAATAATTCACAAATTTTTCAAGAAATGGAACTGAAAACCCCTGGTTTCACATATTTACATGTAGAAAAAAACGTCAATAAAGCAGGCTTTATTGATGTACACTTGTAATCTCAACACTTGGGAGGCAGAGACAAGAGGGTCACTATAAATCTGAGGTCTATCTGAGCTACACAGTAAGAGCCTGTATCAAAAAACAAACACACCAACCAACAGAACCACAAAACCTCCAAGGTTAGCCTGGAATCCCAGAAGTTACATAGAAATGTGGTCAATTATATAAGCACTGTTTCTCAAAATCTTGATTCAAATTTGATTAACAATAGTCTTTGAAAATGTTGGCTTTAGAGATGGAGTCCCCATTTCCCATAAGGGGCCACATGGTAAATATGCATTTTCAGGTCATATACTGTACCTGTGTCAGTCACACTGTTTCTCACACAATCTTTTTCCTCCAGTGATATGGATCAAACCCAGGGCCTTGCACACATACGCCAGGGGAGTCCTCTACTACCGAGCTACATCCCCAGCCCAGTTTCCTATAATCTTTAACACTCCTTTGAAAACACTATTCTTAGCACCACCTCTGTAAAAACAGGCCACAGCTAGACTTGCCCTTGCTCCTGTCTCCCAGTCCAGCTGTTACACTGTATCTTTTTGTTATAGTACCAACTGCACTGTTTTTCTCCTTCAACCGTTTGTCCAACGTAACCTTGGTGAAGCCTTCTGAACGTCCTTCCATTCCCTTTTATGTAACATACTGTGCAAGTGTCACCAGTATTTATACTTACCATCTGATCTTTGTTCTCCACCCACCGCCCCTGTATGTCCACGAAGGCAGACATTTGTTGTTTTGTACTTTACAGAAACAGTTCCAGGAATATTAGGTTCTCAATAAATCAATCTACCCTCAAACTTATACAACAGATACCACAGAGGAAGTGTGTACTCTATGAAATAATCCAACATGTTAAAAAAAAATGCTCAAGGACAAAATTGACAAGTAATTGAAAGTTGTTCAAGTAGCCATAAGACATTTTAAATAACGGGAGGGTTTTAAAAGTTAAAGCATTTTTTCTAGATATGCCTGAGTCAAGATTACAAAATCAAAACTAATCTGGATTACATATTAAAACTAAATCAAAATTAAAAACTTTAAATACTTCTTACCATCCCACAAAGTGAGCTTGTTCTTAGTCTAATTCTCTTGAAGCATACCATTACTTTAGCTAATATAATAAACAAATTTCAATTATGATTCCTAAGTCCCTCTACAGACCAGTTCTACTTTCTTTGATCTTATCCACAAGTGCTCCCTGCCAGTTCAACTAGTTCGGCAGCTTTAAAGTTTGGCAAAGTAGTAAGTTACTTTTTTTTTTTTGGTTTTTTTTGCAGCTCCTTCTTATAATATTTCAATAATATAAACTTCTGGATATTATCACTTCTATAGTCCACAAGCAAAATATATATATTAAATATATGTATATATATATATAAATATATATTAAACAAGCAAAATGCTAGACTATTGACAGCTAGGCTTCAAATATTATGTTGATTAGTCTGATATAAAAAACATTTTAAATTGCTACATATTGTTTTACAAATATAATTATTATGTCTAAGACTTATCTGACAACAAGTTGTGTATACACACACACACACACACACACACACACACACACAGAATGAGAATGAATAACTGGAATGTGGTCAAGTATCACTATTCAGACTAAGGTGGCTCAATCTCTGTTTAAAGCATTACAAACTATTAGAAAATATTTTCTACTGTTAACACTGAGAAACTGACCCTGGACATCTCAGTAAGTCACAGTAATGGATATAATAGTGAAGTTTCAAGATGAGCCTTATTGGCTGGTTAGTTAAAATGGTCTCATGTAGAGCAGGCTGACCTCAAACTTCTCCTCCTCCTGCCTCCAGTTCCCGAGTGCTGGGATTACAGGTGTGCACTAACAAACCCAGCCTTAATGTGTGATCTAAATCATACTATGTATCACATCAAGACAGTATAGAATCAAACTACAAAAAACTTGACGGATTAGTATAAGGAATGCTTACAAGAATATTTAAATTATTTTAAATTATTCATCCACAATTTTATCTTTTACATGACTATAATTCTGTCCTTATTATTAAACAAGCAACTTGGAACTCAAAATTTTAAAATTCAACTCTACTATTAAAGAGTAAGACAACCAAAAAAGGACTCTGCAAAGCAATCAATTCCTTACTTACACAATTTTTTAATTTCAAAATGCTAGGACTGTAATTTGAAAAATGCAGGATAGACTCCTGAGGTAGAGATGGTAGCACATGCTTGTAACCCCAACTACTTCAGGAGGATGAAACAAGGATCACAAGTTCAAAGTCCACCTGAGCAACTAAGCAAGTCCCTATCTCAAATAAAAACCAAAGCAAAAGGGTCAAGGATCCAGCCAGCAGGTGGTGGAGCCCTTGCCCTGTCTTCACAAGGGGAGGGGAGACAAATTCAACTGTTCCAACACTCTCCGTTGTCACAAAACACAGCTTGGTGAAATTAAAACAGCCTTAAACAGCCACTATTTAAGGGGGGAAAATTCTTTTTTTTTTAATCTTTTATGAAAGTCAGGTGAGTCTCAAATTCTCTTTTTACCATATATCCCTGGAGAGTAACATGGCCCAAGATACCAACACATCCCACTTATCTACTCCAAGTAACGTAACGTGAGAAACTGCACTGTGTAATTCCTTTATTTTCTGCATGTCAGTGCTCAGCAACACTACAACCATAAAGAACAATTCCAAGGACTGCACTTTTTAGCTGGGGGAGGGGGATCACAGTCTACAGACTCATTTACTTATATTAGACAAGATTAACCTCATTCAAAACTTACTGCAAGTTTATAAATTCACACAAGTACAGAAATTGATGCAATTAGACAAAATCTTTAGGACCTTATTTTTTTTTAATTCTTCCATTATAACTTTTTCTGCAGGCTCTAATTTCCTGCTTCGTAATCACCAATGTTATGGTTCAATTATAAACCTTTTATATATACTCTTAAAGAAATGTAAGTGAAAACTACAGTTTCTTTCCAAAAGGTTTAGGGTTTTTCAAATTTCAAGTTTCCCCCCTCCCACCTTTTCAGACATTTCAAATAAACTAAAAATAACCCATCTCACCTGCAACATTCAGTAATAGCAATCACTTGTATAAAATTTTAACTATGCCCCCAGTTATTTTAAGACACACACAAAAAAATGGCTGTCTACCAATCTGTCTGTCACAAGTTAGAATACTACATTTAAGAATCAACATGAGGGTTTCAAGTTTCCTCCAGTTTAGGCATTTATACCTTTGTGCTTATTTTGTTTCAGGATGTTACTATAGCATTGATATTCGTATAACCATATTTATGTACCTTAAAATGCAATCATTTAAAACACTAAGAATTACATTTATGCTGGAGCTTTGGGAATTTTAAAAAGCAACTGTGTTCTTAAATGTGAATCAGCCTCATTTCTAGAGATATTTTTATTAATGTGAAGATGAGAACTTTAGGCTTGAGTTGCATCTTGAATTCAAAAATCCCTCTGCACCAATAGGGGCCTACAACATAGCACCTTTTCTCATCTGCTTTAAGTTAGTTTTACTTACAGTTCATTTTTGTATAGCCTTCTGTTTCTCATACATCTTTGGTAAAAAGCTCCATTATACAATATGGCCAAAACATGAAGGACCAATACTGTCCAACTATACCATGATATCCGGCTTGATTTTAATTTTCAGACACCCTCATAAGCAAAACACTCCACCTTTTCCTGTATACTGCCCTTGCAGTCTACATTTCTGAAATTCCCTAAGTTTAATTCCTTGAGGATCACTACATTAATCCTTAAGGCTACATAAGAACCAGATGCTGCTTCACAATTCTGAATCAACATTAACATTTGGTTCAATATATTACCATAGTGGTCTCAATCTAGTAACTGGTCCTAACCAGCTCATCTTGTTAAGATCTGGGTATCACCAGTGAGCACAATGCTTACCCTTAAAGAAGAATAAATTTACATTCATTGTCATCTGTAGGTTCTCCCTCTGCCTCCTCCTCCCCTTTAACTGCCCCTCCAGTCTGCTTCATTCATTCGGCACATTTCCTTCCTTAAAGGAGATACTGTAGACTGAACCAACAGGATAGCTATTTGCATGAGTTACTCCTACAATCAAGCAAAACTAAATACCTTCTTTTAAATAAACCATCTTTTCCAGTGTTTTAATTCATGGAGATGTAGATCACTCATTAAAAAAAAAAGTCATATATCTTCAGTTTAATCAGTTGCTGTAATGTGAAAACAGGAATGTGTATTTTTTTTCCCAGCTAGGTAAAAGGTGCATATAATTTGACTTTCTGAATATTTTATTAGTGAACAAAGTAAATGTTTAGTAATTTTAAAGCTACTGGTCTTAAGATATTTGAAACAAGGTAACATATTCCAATTTTGCCTGAAAGTCACTTAAAATATCTACAAATATTTCATCTGCGTGTGGCATACACCATTATTGCTCCATTTTCTGGAAAGAGTCTATTTTTAAAGGTAAGACGAGGAGGGAGACAGCAAAGTTCCCAACTTTGCAGTGTAAAAGACCTGCGCCCTGGTACAGGTTACAGTTGTTTTCCGCAGCCTAAGTTAGCTGCGGGCGGGGAACTGGAGTTTTACTCCTGCTCACGCACGTTAATAGCTGACACTCCAAGGGATTTCTTACATTACCTGTTTAACACACTGATGTGCAACTGGAACATTACACTGGTATTACTCATTACTTTGCCACTGTGGGCTAAGTTAACCATACTGGTCTTGGATATAAAAGGTCACATTTGAAATTGCTAAAGTTAGCGCTAACAAGGAAGGGGGGGAAGGCCTTAAACATAAAAGACAAACGGCAGTTTGATTAAGCAATAATTTTCAGTTTACTAGATGAAACAGACTTGCAACACAGTCTGCATGAATGCAAAATAAGCCATCTACAGCAAGTGATAAGAAACTGGGCAAAAAGGAAAAAAAGCATACATGGGAAAAAAAGATTCTCTCAAATAGAAAAATCAAACCATTATTATAAAGGATTTTACCAAGAGCTGCTATTACCCCACCCCGTTTGCTGGAAGTCACAAGAGCATCTAGCACTGTATTCGTGTCAAATATCAGATCAGAGCATCCTAACGCAAAGCAAAAAAAAAAAAAAAAAAAAAGGAAACAAAGAAAATCCCAACCCCACTAAACGGTAGAACTGTAACTCCAGAGTTCAGATTCAAAAAAGAAAGTGGCAATTCAAAGAGGTTGATGACGGTGGCGATAATCCTATGAATGGGTCTTTGATTTCTCTCTTTCCGGGGGATGGGTGGAGGATGCCCATTAGGATTTGTAGTTAGAGGTTAACCATGTGAGCCCCTCATAGAGTCCGTCCCCAGAGGTGGCACAGGAAGGCTGCACATACCAGTTCCTGTCCCGAATCCGGGTCAGGCCCAGTTTCTCCTGGATCTCATGGGGTTTCATGGCATCGGGCAGGTCCTGCTTGTTGGCGAAGATGAGGATTATGGCGTCCCTCATCTCCCGGTCATTGATAATGCGGTGCAGCTCCTGGCGGGCCTCGTCGATGCGGTCGCGGTCGGCGCAGTCCACCACGAAGATCAGACCCTGGGTCCCGGTGTAGTAATGCCGCCAGAGCGGCCGGATCTTGTCCTGGCCGCCCACATCCCACACGTTGAACTTGACGTTTTTGTAAGTCACCGTCTCCACGTTGAAACCCACCGTGGGAATGGTGGTCACCGACTGGCCCAGCTTCAACTTGTACAGGATCGTGGTCTTGCCGGCCGCGTCCAGGCCCAGCATGAGGATCCGCATTTCCTTGTTCCCGAAGATCTTGGATAGCACCTTCCCCATCGCGTCGGAGGAGCCGGGGCCGGGGGCATTCAGGTGTCCCGGGTCCCCTCTTGCCTACACCACCGCCGCCGCCGCCGCCGGGGATCGAAACGAAGCCGCCCCGCCGCGAGGACGCCCAGCGGCCTGCGCGAAGCTGCCTGCTAGAGGGGCAGGGGGCCCGGCCTGCGCTCGCTCACTCACTCGGGCATCGCCCGCCG